TCCAAAAGCAACTCCCGTTTCCTCAGGAAAAATTACTATGCATAATATTATGTTATCATGTACAAGCAGGAAAGTCCTAACTTTGATAAACAAATTTAAATGGTGCGAATCGTTTCACGTGGATAGCGCCTAAAACTGAAAAACTCAAACATTTTTTCAAATGTACAACCTGTTGTTTCAAATTAACGCTTATTATAAAAATAAATGATAAACTCTTTGACAATAACGGCATTCTTTGTAGTGTAGTACCACACGTACATGAATGTACAATCTAGTTATAAAAGCTATTCCTGAATATTTTGTGATTATTCTCATCTGAATCCCAAAAGTATCACATGTGAATTGTAGCAAGTTATTGCCACATAGAATACTAGATTTTTAAAAAATATTTTAAAAAATTGACAAGCGTTTATTTGGGACACATGTTGTACTGTTGAAATGGTGTTTCAAATATTATTATTTAGGGAATTATTTTTCTTACTCTACTCTCACGTCTTATGCTCAGGTATTGTAAAATCCTATTTATTTAGTTAGTTGATTAGTTGGTTAGTTAATTATTTAATTTAGTGTGTGTGTGTGTGGGTGGATTGGTTTTTTTTTTTACGAAGTGACTATTTCTCCGAACGTTCGGAGAAATATTGCCGATCTTTATTTCTCCGAACGGTTTCCGGCTTCCGCTCTGGTCGTGATTGTTTGCCTATTTGCGAGAGTTCGGCGCCAACTTTCATTCCGTCATTCTGCGAGGTCTGGGAAGGAGCAAATCAATGGTGGTATCGGTTCTCAGCTTCTCCTCCGGCCGTGTGCCCACTGGTTTAGCGAGGCGGGTACTGCCTGAGGCACCCGAGAGACGGAGAAATCTGACCCTCTTTTCTATTGAGTGGACGGTTATCGTCCATTAAAAAAAAAAAAGCAAATTTTTGGGTTTAGATCTAGATATCTATTTCAATTTTCAAGAGCTAGATCTAGTCTAGAGATTTTTAGATGAGTGTAAAAACGTGAAAAAGAAAGGTTTCACAACAGAATGAAATCAAAACTAGAACAGCCCAGAAACAACCACAACAATTAACAAATAAGGGCGTGTGTCCACCTGTCCGAAGAAGATTGACCGTTTTAACCCTAAATATGCGTAATTTGTAAAAAAAAGTACAGGATATTGCATGGAAATTATGGAATCACACACAGGGGGCCTGCCAGTGTCAGTACATGTAATTGGTTTTGGTGGAACGCTCTAACATAGCACATTTAAATCTATACAGATATATATATTTAGAATCTAATGAAGGTAGGAACATCAATGACGTTACACAATACCTTTTGTAGAAACATCAAATTAAATGACGTTACACTATACAACCCCCCCCCCCCCCCATTTTCCCCAACAAAAAAAAATAATAGAAAAACAACACATCAAGAAAAAAAAATACACACCAACAAAATATAACACCACAAAGAGGGAAAAATAAACGAAAAATAAAAGAGGAACAGCAATACAAATCGTATGTAACTGCAACGTATTCAACAAATCAACGTGGTGACAACAAGTGAGAAAGAGACGAAGTGAAGCTAAGTGAACTTTCTTTCAAAAGTAAAGAGGTTCATTTTCTTTTTTTTTGTGTGACTTTTTCGGGGACCAAAAAATTGAGCCACGATTGATTGGTCGCGGCCTCGACAAACGCAGATGCTAGCTCTATGTGTCGTTATCAATAACCCTCCATAGATCTAGATCTAGACAGCTCACGAGTGAACGCAACACATTAAGTTTAAGAGCAGCACCCTTCATAGGCCACACGTCATATCTGTAGCGAAAAACTGTTTGGAACTGTAGCATTTCTTTATATAAATACGGACATTTTTTGGACCGATTGAACCATATTGTATACGAACAATCTTTGGTAGGCCTATAATATAATTATAGATCTATATTTTATTTTTATTATCCGAAATATGCGGGAAAGGGTGTGATTTCAGAGTGTTCAGAGAAATAGTGCCCAGCTTTATTTTCCCGAACGTTCGGAGAAATAGTGCCGGCCGTATTTTTATCCGTTTTACACCAATGTTGACTTAATATTCGTTGCACATTGTTAGATTTTGAACATTTTAATGGTTTTTTTCGGTCTATATTACAGTGGGTGTCGCATTCAACGAAGTTGCCGGGACCGGCTTGTTGTCCTCGTTGGAACCGACCTCTCGTTGAACGTGACTAAGGCTAAAGAAAAGAAAGGAGACAAGTTATTATATTACACGATATACCAATAGCAGTAATTAAAACATTTGTTCCCCCTGAGGACGAAAATCTCCAACAGCATCAGTATGCGCGTGTTTGAGCTGTGATCTGACCGTTATATCTGCATTCTAAAATATTCTTTTTTTCCGGAACACTTCTCGTGTGGAAACATACCCTCTCACAACTAGGCCTAGATCTACATAAAGTGAAGACGAGAGTTTGGATTTTCTGATCAGGGGAAGAAACGAAAATTGAAAAAAAAAAGGTCTCGATCTTATCTAGACCTACCCATCCAGAGTTCATCCAGTTTCACACAGCCTGCATTGCGTTCCCACCCACCCCCTCCCATCCTTACCGTAGGCTAATCCTCTCCCATTCTCTTGGCTTTGGGGAACATATTACGAAGCACATTAGATTTAGCAATACAATGTGTTAGGAATCGAGGATGGGCCTTGTGCTTCGCGTGAGATGGAGAGAAAGGGGGGAAATTCTACGCTTTTGGGGACCGCTAATTGCTTTTATTTGGTTATCGCGACCTCGTTGAAAACGACTTCGGTCTGTTTGCAACCTCGTTGGAGCCGACGTACATTTACAAAGGACATAGAGGACAAAACGGGGTTTAAAGGTTGCCTCGTTGGAGCCGACTTCTTGTTGAATGTGACCTCGTTGAATGCGGCACTCACTGTATATTAAGCCATGTTGTCTAATCATTTCTCACGCTTTAATTAAGTTCATAATCATGTGAAATGACTCGAAACGTTTATCAAATTTTCAGGACTTGTTCATGCTAGTAATCTTCTTCGTGAGGAATCAGTTACATCTGGACTGAAGCGGTAAGTATAGGTTAATACTTATAGTAGGTCTTAATACTCACTTTATTTTGTGCAAGTGTGTGTGTGTCTGGTTGTCAATCTATCTATCTATTTGACTGTCTGTCTGCCTCTGTCTCTGCTTGTCTGTCTGTTTGTCTGTCTGTCTGTCTATCTATCTATCTATCTCTCTCTCTCTATCTATCTATCTCTCTCTCTATCTATCTATCTATCTATCTATCTATCTATCTATCTATCTATCTATCTATCTATCATTTGTCTTTGGAGAGATTTCTTTTGGTCAGAACACAATGTTTTATGTTACTTAGGTGCATTGTATTGTATTGTAAAGCGCTCAATGCCTGGGTACTTTAATCGGTGCTGAGCGCTTTATAAATGTCATTTATTATTTATTATTATCCTATCTATCTATCTATCTATCTATCTATCTATCTATCTATCTATCTATCTATCTATCTATCTATCTATCTATCTATCTATCTATCTATCTATCTATCTATTTGTCTGTCTGTCTGTCTGTTTATCTATCTATCATCTATCGGATTTGTTACTTACTGTTAGTGCAAACAGGATGTTTATTGTTTCACCATGTTTGCACATTATGCCTTTGTGGACTTTTTAATAAGAAAAGACGAAACATTTTAATTTTTAGAATTAATACGTACCCCCCCCCCCCACGTTTTCTCGCCCCCCCCCCTCTTCAGTATTTTATGAGCATGTAATTTCATCGATGACAATGTTTAAGTGGGTAACAACTCGCTCACGAATTCATATATATCTAAAGAAATGGGCGATTCTCTTTTGATCCCAAAACATTTTGAGTGGCAATTGTAAGCTAATATCACGAACTATTCCAAGCAATTCAATCTCATCTCACCCCATCCCATCCCACCCCATCCATTCCCATCCCGTCTCATCCATTCCCATCCCATACCATCCTACACCCATCCTATCTCATCCCATCTCATCCAAGGCTGAGGGCTGACTATTCCAGCTGTAGACCTGCATGTTTGCCGACAATCGTCTGAAATCCGAACTGAGCTGTACTGGGTCTACTTTTTATTTGGGTCCAAGGAGGCTATCGCATCCTCCGCGAGGTGATCAGTTAAAGTTTGTCGTCACCAATATCAGTTTCATAATATGTGAGGCAGCGTGGTGGAATCAGGCTCTCGTCAATTTTTGGGCATGTAGAGTTATTGGTATCATCTTAAAGCTTGTTCATTGTCTTTATTTGGAAGAAAAATGAATCCATTTATCTTGAATTCAGGTCGAGATATTTGCGAAAGAAGGAGGTGGGGGTCACCTGTTTTCAGAGGTAAAATTATTGAGAAAATGGCCCGCCAAAAATTAGTTATTCCCTTAGTTCAAGAGTCCGTGGTAACTGAAAATTTACATTTTTTTAGCCTTTAATTAACGTTTTTCAGAAAAATCCACACAGAAATGAGTTCTTTAATGGGCATGAAAGGTGGGTCAAAAAACATAAATTTGATAAACATTCACAAACCTGCGGAAAAAATGCACGTTTCTTCACTTTGATTATTTTGACGAGAGCCTGATTCTACCACGCTGCCTCACATATACATTTAAGGATTAATAACATATTTAATGCGTACCCGCCAACCCAACCGAGTGGGTAGTTTGAGGGGAGAACCCTTTTTCGTTCCACAATTTTCAGTTTTCAAATTTCGCCTGAGGCCTACCGGTTTTTGCCCACCTGTTTTCGTCCCACATTTATTCGGTTACTTATAGAGGTTACTTCAATAACCACTCCGATTCCAAAATGGATATATAGAATGCGCAGAGAAAATTCATTGTTTACAATCACAGGATGAAAATCAGTGTTAAAAGTTTCCAGAACAAATTAATGTCTCTCATAAAACAGTTTTGATAAAAATTCTTGCAATAATATGACTCTTGTTAATTAAAAAGGTAAAGCGAAAAAATGTGTACAGTTATAAATCAAAGGTAAAAATGTGCACGTTGTTCACGGTCAGGATGCCACTGTCTCCCGACCGAGACAACAGGCTGACATTTTCAGCAAAAAGCAGAGATAAATTATTATTTAATTACGGTATCGTCCATCTCAAAGTATCACCACCACCACACCCGCACATCAGAGAGAGAGAGAGAGAGAGAGAGAGAGAGAGAGAGAGAGAGAGAGAGAGAGAGAGAGAGAGAGAGAGAGAGAGAGAGAGGGGGGGGGGGGGGGCGGGGTGCTTATAAATATTGCGGTGCACCTGTTTTCGTTCTACATTTTCCTTTCACTACCTGTTTTTGTCCCACTTTCGTCAATCACGATTTTTAACTGTTTTTGTCCCACGTTTGCAACAATTAATATGTAACCGATTAATATTCGATGCCATTAATCGACACCCCCACCACCACATGATCTCTGTCTGTGTGGTAATATTCTCATAATGTGTCAGTGACAGATTGACTGTAAACATTGTGCAGTTTTATCCTGGTTTTAAATAAGATTTTAAGATTTTTAACATGAGTTTTATAACAAAGATTTTCAAAGAAACTTTCATCAGAGACTTTTTTTCTGCAAACTTTCACCACAAATTTTCATCCTGCACGAAACTCTACTTCCACCTCCCTGTTGATCATGTGACTGTGAACAGTGATATTTTCTCCGTGCATCTTTGTTTTTGTTTTTGTTGTTTGGTTGTTGTTTTTTTAGTAAGTGTTTTACGGCGCTCGCAACTGCATACGGTCGCATGAGCGCGCAGGACACACCAAACATTTTCAGTCGGTAGGAATTTTTTTTTTTACCCTGGTGGCTGCCGAAGCCTACTGTGATCGATTTTTGACCACAAAGGGATCTTTAACCTGTGCAACGTGGGAAGAAAGTGGAGACGAAAGCAGACGACAGAATTTTGCTTGAGAGCAGGAAAGGCGAAAGGACACAAGCTAGAAAAGAAAAATTTCCGTCACTATCCGAATTCAAACCCGAGACCTATTGAATGAGAGGCGAACACCTTAACCTCTAGGCCACGAGAGCCCCCCTCCGCGCATCATAAAACCATTTTGGAATCGGTGTGGCAACTGCAGGAACCTATAAGTTATCGAACAAATGATGGTGTGAAAACGGGGTGGACGAAAACGGATACGACGAAATTCTAAAATGAAAAGTGTGTAAATTTCAGTTATGGATGAAATGTGCATTTTTTGGGCCAGAGCTAAGCTGCAACAAACAACACTTATTCTAGATCTTAATTTTTGTCTTAGCTGCTGGAAAATGTTTTTCAAGGTCCAAATCACTAAGGTCATTTTTTGGGTCGGTCGTTACACTTTCAGTAATGGATGTAATGGATATTTTTTTTGTCAGTGCCAAGCTGTAGTAAACAACAAATACGTTCATTCTAGAACGTAATTTTTGTCTCAAGAGTGGAAGTCTTTTAAAACAAAATCCAGATCCCTTATATCTATTTTGCAGTCGTTCTTTACACATTCTGTAACGGGTATAATGTATATTTTATCGTCAGGGCCAAGCTGTAGCAAACAATAAATAACGTAGATCTAGAAATTAATTTTCTTTTCAGCTTCTGGACAAGTTTTGTAAAAATTCAAATCCCTTATGTCTATTTTGGGTTGATCAATAAACTTTCAGTAGGCTAATGAATGTAATATATAATCCAAATAACTTTTGACTATTTTTTGGCCTGTCGTTACACGTTCAGTCATGGAGTAATGGATGTAATGTAAATTTTTTCGTCAGTGCAGAGATGCAGCAAACAGCAAACAGCGCGCTCATACGACCTTATGCAGTTGCGAGCACCGTAAAACACCATACTAAACTAACTAAAAACAGCAAATAACCTTATTCTAGAACTCAATTTTCGTCTTTGCAGCTGGAAAAAAATCTTTAAATAAAAATCAAGTCACTTTTGTCTATTTTTGAGTAGGTCGTAAACCTTCCTGTAATATCTGTAATGAAAATTCTTTTGTCAGTGCCAAGCTGTAGCAAACAACAAATAACTTTATTCTAGAACTTAATTTTCGTCTTTGCAGCTTGATAAAAACTTAAAAAAAAATCCAAATCACTTAAGTCACCTTTTGGGTCGGTTGTTACACTTTCAGTTATGGATGAAATGTGCTTTTTTTCGTCAGTGCCAAGCTGTAGCAAACAACAAATACGTTTATTCTAGAACTAAAATTTCGTTTTAGCTGCATCATTTAGGTCAATTTTTGGATCGGTCGTTACACTTTCAGTAATGAATGTAGCGGGTATGTTTTCGTCAGTGCCAAGCTGTAGTAAACAACAAATACGTTTATTCTAGAACTTAATTTTTGTCTCAAGAGTGGAACAAGTTTTTAAAAACGAAATCCAAATCCCTTATATCTCTTTTTGGGTAGGTCTTTACACCTTCAGTAATGAATGTTATGAACGTTTTTTAAAATAAGAGCCAAGCTGTAGCAAGCAATGAATAACCTTGATCGAGAACTCAATTTTCATGTCAGCTGCTGGACAAATTTAGTAAAAATCCAAATCACTTCTGTGCCCGTTTTTTGGGTCGGTCGGTTCACTTTCAGTAATGGATGTAATGTATATTTTTGCAGCTGTGCCAACCTGTAGCATTATTCTAGAATTAATTTTTTGTCTTTGTAGCTGTAATCAGATGTATTATATTTTTTTGGTCAATGCCAAACTGTAGTAAAAAACAAATTATAACTTTTTTTCAAGAACTTAATTTTTGTCTTTGCATCTGTAAACAGTCTTTTTAAATTCCAAATGACTTAGGCCAAATTTTGGGTTGGTCGTTGCACTTTCAGTAATGGACGTAATATACAATTTTTCAGCTGTGCCAAGCTGTAGTTAATATGTACTTTCTTTTTAGTAGCTGGAAACCGTCTTGTTTCACGAGATCGGCTTTAAAATAAGAAGGTATTTTCAAGAGGACATTGTCTTAAGAATTTGGGAGGATTTTTGTAAGCAAGCTTATAGGGGTGCCCGTTACGGATGTGATCGGGTCGGGTCGGGTCGGGTTGGGTCAATCGCCCCATTCGTCGCCTGAAAACAAACGCGTTTGTTTTTGAGGCGACGAGTCGGGTACGAATGGCTTGTGCCATAATAGCCGCTTTGTGCCCTCAATGTTGCAAGAAAACCGCCCCGACCCGACCCCCAAATGGGCACCCCGTATTAGAGTTCGACCTAGGGTGGGGGGGGGGGGGGGTTAATAATAAATATGTCATTTTTAGACGTTTAAGTCGGCATTATTTAGTTAATTTACCGAAACCTGCAAAGAAAGATAGTGATCTTAACTCTTTATGCACCTCTATTTATCAGCACATGGTCATAACATCAAGTTTCGAAAAAGGGTTATTGTATCGGTGTTTTGACCAGATAGAGTTAATTAGCCAAATGATTAGCTATTTTCGGTCGTAGTTTCTTTTTTACCAATATCCCTACGATTTTGATACTTTTTGTGTTTGGCGCACAGCATTCCGCTGCATTAGAATTGTGAAGTTACATTTTTGGCCGTTTTGAGTTACTGAACCACGAGGTGTGAAACCAATAGTTCTATCTGCTCTATCAAAATCGTAAGATTATTCGGGTTCGTTATCAAGATATTCAAATTTAAAGTATTGCATTTGAAAAATCTTGACACGTGAAATTCACAATTTTTCACGTCAAATTTCTCAAAACTAGGTATTGAGGAGATAAAAAATTGTAATTCTAGGGTAGAGATTTGCTAAGTTGGTATCATGCTGGACTCCGGAGTTGATGGCGCGGGGCGTTCAGAACTCGGGTTGTTCCATGAGGAGATTTTAAGGCTCACTACCTGTTTGGTTGGTTCTATCGTAGATGGACTTTAAATTCGGAGGTCCCGCCTCTTGACCCGTTCATAACGTAAAGCGTTTTAAACTTACTGTGCCCAATTTATGCTAGTCGTAACGATGAGCAGTTTCAGTAATTTTGCGATCCCTTGAAAAATTAAAGAGTTATGTGATTTGTACATGTTCGTTATCGCAGATTTCAAAACTTTCAGTAGTTTCCCGGCACATATCCATTAGAAGTCATTGCAGAAAAGTTATAAATCTGGTATTAATCTTGCATTTTATGACGTACATTGTTCAAGAGTACGATATCCAGGCTCACGATATTTGACGTACAGTGTACGGAACTATCATGGACAGAACAGTGTTTTTAAAACAAAATATGTGAGGCAGCGAGGTGGAATCAGGCTCTCGTCAATTTTTGGGCATGTATGAGTTATTGGTATCTTCTTAAAGCTTGTTCACTTGTCCTTATTAGGATGAAAAAAAATATCCATTTATCTTGAATACAAGTCGAGATATTTGCGAAAGAAGGAGTTGGGGGTCACCTATTTTCAGAGGTAAAATTAGTGAGAAAATGGCCGCCAAAGATTAGTTATTTCCTTAGTTAAGAGTCCGTGGTAACTGAAAATTTACATTTTTGTGCCTTTAATCAACGCTTTCAAAAAAACCCACTCAGAAATGAGTTCTAAAGGGCATGAAAGGTGTCGAGCCAAAAAACAAAAATTTGATAAAAATTCATAAACCTGCCGAAAACTGCAAGTCTCTTCACTTTGATTATTTTGACGAGAGCCTGATTCCACCACGCTGCCTCACATATATTGTAGGGAACAGTGTTGAAAGGGGCGTGGGGCGTTAAAGCTATACAATGACTAATGATGCGATTTCTGGTTTGTGTCTAACGTTTTCTGATACAACCAGAATAATACATGTAATATGGTTTACTGATTTTTTCTTTTCAGACCAACGACCGGTCAATAATTGTTTCACGCACACATCAGTTTTGACCTTCACGGGCAAAGTGTTTAGAGTGATAAGACGTCTACAATTACGGTACATTTTATCTGTTTTCCCTCTGTCTCTATCTGTCTGTCTGTCTGTCTGTCTGTCTGTCTGTCTGTCTGTCTGTCTGTCTGTTTGTCTGTCTGTCTGTCTGTCTGTCTGT